TTTTTTTGTATTGCTCTGAATTATGCACACAGTGAGCTTGCATCTTTCAGGTTGCCACTCACTTAAACTTCTATTCTAGTACGCTCCCTGAATACCTGCATGTACAAATTTAGGGTTGGAAAATGCCATAAAACAAATATTTTTAAAATACTGTCATGCTCCATAGACTTTATTATCTACAGATGAGATAACTGATAAGCAGAGAAACTTTCAGGGACAGCTAAATACGTTTTTTCTTTAAAAACAAAATAATATATTTAAAATGTAAAACATACAAAAAAAATCTCGTCGTACAATGTTTACCAAATACAAATGAGAAAATGAAAGCTCAGGCTTGAGTCCAAAAAAATATTTTCAGGCTATAGGACTAACCCGTGCTGGGAGGAGGGAAGCATTTAGAAGAATTTATAATTATTTTATTTCCCAGCTGAGCTGAGACCAGTCCGGGTCTAATGTAATTATCAAATACACATACAAACAACATGTTTTCAAAGGAAACAAAAGCTGCTAGAAGGCTCATTCTCCCTGGGCTTAAGGCTACTCTTCTTAACACACTGGGAAATAAGGGCAGGCGCCTGTGCAGAAAGCATGGTTAACTTCACACCGGGTGTTAAATTAATATTTCAACCGCTAAAATATTAGACTCTATCATTTAGATTATGAGTTCAATTGAATCTAAAACTGCATAAAACCCCTTAGCCCCCCAGGGATGCGTTCCCATAAATAAACGCGAGTTCACACCCACTCTTTTTATCCAGAGCTGTTCGTTCCCTTTCCTGCTGTACCAGCTGCAATCTTTTCCCCCTCACTTCCCCAAGTCTCCCTGCTCCTACATATCTCTAGTATCAGCAGACCTGCTCCAAAACACTCTCTGCAAAACGCGGAAAATCAAAGGCGCCCGCTGGCCTCAGCACCGTGCAGTCCTACACACATAACACGGACGCACCAACTCGGAAAGTGTTAAAATCAACCGCTAACCTACGGTTACTCAATCATAATTCTCTCCAGCTTTCTGTAATACATTGTTAATAATTGCTTCATCAAGGTTACTGTCTTTTATTGTGAAGATGCTTCAGGCGTTTGGCAATAAGTCCATATTCTGACAATAAGTTGCTATAAAGCACAAGCATTGGAAACTCTAACGTGCTAACCCCCGTTTTAATGCAATGTAGCAATGCCAATAATTCTCATCACTTGTCATCCCCACGGGGAGGGGGGAAGGGGGGATAAACCAGCAAACTTTCTCCCTAACTTTCTTGTCTCTATTTTCTTACTCTGCTGCATTGATTACGGAGTTGGCAGGGAAGGGGAGAAAGCACCGATCACCACATCAAACAGACAATTTGCTAGCTCTTCGAGATCAGGAAACTTTACCAAGCAGTGCAAACTCGCTACTTTGCAGATGGAAACAGAAATAACCTTCTGCGTTTTTACAGCTTTACAAATCACGAGGGAAAAGGGTGGAAAAGGTGGGACCCGAACTGGCAAAAGGTGAAAATAGTAATAGTAACATTGGACAACAACAGCAAAACAATGCGATTGGGGACAGGTTCTCTAAGCATGTTAAAGTCTTTAAAAAATGCCATAAAGAAAAAGGACTTACATGGTCGGCTAAATTTGTGGAAGATCCTGAGAGTTCTTCGTGATCTGACTTGGAGCTGCCATCCCTTTCATCAATAACGAGGTCTATTGGCATTTTTCCTTTCAAACAACTAATGTACCGATGGCAGAAGTTATCGCACAACTCATGAACCTGGAAACATGGAAACAGCAACAAGAATAATAGCAGCAATAATAGCGAAATACGAAATATCGGGTTGCAACTTTTTTTTTTTTTTTTTTTTTTTTGGTAGCAAGAGCAACACTCTGATCTCCTCCGCAAGTAACTCTAATTAAGGGGCACAATAGCTGAAGGCGAGGAAACAATAGAGAAATTGTTGCCGCACATATTATTCTCTGGGGACCCGCCGCAGCAACAAGTTAGAGAGAGAGATAGTGGCCTCAGCGCAGAGCGCGGAGGAAAATCCGATTTGATGATAATATCGGAACACTGGAAGCCGGAGCGCGGTGGTACCTCCGGAGCACGCACAGCCCGGACAGATACAACTAGTCACTCGGAATGGGAGCTACTTAAACCGAGGTGAAAAATAAAAATAAAATTATTAATAATAATAATATTTAAAAGAAAATGGAAAAAGGAAATGTATGTGGCCGGGACCAGTAAAATGAAGATACTCGCTGAGGCTCTGGGCAAAGCCATTCCCATCGCAGGGCACAGCCCCCTCCCCACGCGGAGCAGGGGCCCCCTGCCTCCTCCAAACATCTAGTGCTTGTTTGGGGTTAACTCGCCTGCCAGGGCTGCGGAGAGGCAGCAGTGCTTTCATTTCTCCTTTTGTTAAACATATTATTTCCGACTCAGGGAAAGAGCTCCGAGCGAGGGAAGGGGTAAGAAGGACGGAAGGGGGTTAATAATATATATATATATATTTAATGACTCGGTTGAAATTACACTGAGAGAGAAGTGCCGGGCTGGGCTGAGCCTGGCTGTCGGTGTCACATGCTCTTATGGCACAGGTTACAGGATCACACTGCGTTTCCCCTCTCTCCTCTGGGCATGTTTACAAGCTGTCCCAAACAGTCAAGGCGGGCAGGAAGGGGAGGAAGGGTCGCTTGTCGCCCCCACCTTCCTGGTTCTTACCTTTTCTAATTCCAAAAGGTGAAACCTTAGTACTTGTATTGCTTGGATCATCTGCAAGACAGTTGGGAGCGAGGCGTTACGCGGGGAGAGGGGCTGGGGGCCGCGCCGCGAGCCCGGGCGGGCGCGGGCAGAGGAAGCTGCCCGGGCGCGCTCCTTATCCCGGATTTTAGCCCATTGGTCACGCCTGAGCACTTCTGGTCAACTTTAACCTAAGCATTTGATTTTTATCACATTTATTCGGGTAGAGCTGATTAGTGCTTTATTACTGTGATCTAGGAGGAACCCCCTGGCCCACCTCCCTGCTCCCTGCTCGCAGCCCGGTCCTGGTTTCGCAGGGTCCACAGAGAGGTCGAGCACTCGCTCTCACACCTCAGGCCCTTGGAAGGAAGCGGGGGGATGCCTAGGATGAATAGTTTGGCATCTTCTTTACAAGCGGATTTAGGCACTTTGAATATTGAAACCATCCACATTAGCAAAAGAATTACGTTAGAAATCTCCAGCTCTCGCTTCTTAAGCAGTTATTTCCTCCGCTTTAGCTTCCCGGGGCTTTCCGAGCGCAGCTTTGCAATGCACCGGGACAGGAGCGTTTGCCCCGGCTCCCTTTGGAAGCGGAGCCCTTTGAAGCCTCTGTCACCACTTGGGAAGCCTCCCGGCTCTGACTCTGCCCGGAGCCCGGGCCCGGGGCTGCCTGGGGCCGAGGGGGGGGGCGGGTGGTGGAAAGTAGCGGGGCCCCGGCGGCGGGGGGGAGGCCTTACCAAATTGTCCAGCTCGGGGTTTGACGAAAATAGTGGTTTTTCGGCGCGGACCTACGAGGCGAAGAGAAAGCAGCATAAATTAGGGCTTCTTTCCCCAGCCTTGTAACCGAATCGCTTCAAGGGGGAGAAAAACATGTGACAAAAGTAGCCGGCGCGGGTCGCATCCAAACCCTGCCGGGGCCGCGGAGCCCCCGGCCATGCGGAAAGGGGCCGCCCCACAGCGGCCGCCGCGCGGCTTCGCCCCTGCCCCGCTCCGCGGCCTCCGCCGCCCTCCGCGGCCCCCCCTTGCCCATCCCATCCCCATCCCATCCTCATCTCCATCCCATCCCCGTCCCTCTCCAGGGCGCCCACCCCGCCGGGCCGGGCCGGGCCCGCACAGCGGCTGCGGACCTGCTTGGCGAAGACGGCGATGTCCTCGTTGAAGGAGTCGGAGGAGCAGACGTCGCCGCCGGCCACGCCGGGCTCCCGGGGCGTGCAGGTCGCCAGCTCGCACTTCTCAAAGACCAGGGCTAGGAGGGGGAACAGCGGGTGCCTGGCGGGCAGGGGCACACAAAGAGAGCGGGAGGCAGCGGGGACAAGAGCTCTAATCAACAAGTATTTTTTTAAATGCACACACACACGCGCGCGGACATACCGCGCTCTTTCAATGTCCCTTCGAGCAGGGCCGCGGGGAAACCAACTTCGAGACCGAGGGGCTGTGGGGTTGCGAGCGGCCGGGCCGCGTTCCCGCACGGTCCCCGCCGAGCTCCGCACCCGCGTGGGCACCGCGCACCCGAGCGCGCCGCGGCCCCGCTGGGAACCTCGCACTTTCCGCCACGGCTTAAAATAACGCGAAACCTGGGAGATCCCATCCCTGCCCTCGAGCTATGACCTAAAATGAGAAGCACGGCTAGGCAAACCGAGCGAACTACTTAATACGTAATTTTATTTTTTTTTTTCAAAGAGCCTGCTAACAAAAAAATGTGGTGAAGTTTCCTGGCTTAGGAAGCTCTCCCAAGTAAAATACCAGCTGTTCAGATAAGTGAGCTGGGGAGGGGGCGGCGGGGGGAGCACTTCTAGAAATATTTTCCCATAGTTGGCATAGTCAGAAATATATAAATATATATCTATATCTATATCTATATATATAATCTGTGTGCTAAGTAGTAAGCGTAAGCTTGTCTATTTTCCCCTTTGGTGTCTGATCAAGGCCCCACACTCTGTCATAGATGTTACTATCTCTCCTTTTAGGATAATTTAGTATTTTTTTCCAAAAGGCACTGGAGGGAATCGATGTCATTCCCCCCAAGCAGCGCACTGGCACAGGCTTGATTTTTGCTTGCTGAGTTTTTTTTTTTTTTTTTTTTTTTTTTTTTCCCCTTTCCTCCTATGTTTTATCCTAAAAGGAAAACTCAGCTCGCTGCCTTCAATGTATTTAATTCTTCTATCTCAGGAGGAGCGAACCGCCTTCACAGCCACTGTCCTCGGCGGCCTGAATAGCTCTTTATTTACAGTGTTGCGAAGAGTGTTATTAAGGCATCCTGCTCGAGGAGAGCACTCGCTCAGCACTTCCCTGCCTGGAAACGCGGCGCGGCCAGAGCCACCTCTCCTGCCTCTACTCCTCACTGGGGCCTTCCCGAGAAAGACTCCAAAAATAAAAATAAAATAAAATAAACACAGGGGAAAAAATAAGGGAGGGGGAAGCAGCATGCCCCCCACCGCAGCACGCTTGGGGGGTGCATTCTAATTTTTATTTTTGCCCAGGAGGCGCTTGCTGAGGTGCAAAGAGCGAGGAGAGAAGGAGGCTGGGGCTGCGCTCGCTGCGCAGCCCGCGCTGGCGGCGGCGCGGGGGCCTGCGGGGAGCCGCGCGGCGGCACCTACCCGTAGATCGCGTCCTTGTCGCGCTTGAGGGCGTCGTTGACAGCGGAGCCCATGGTGGCCGGCATGACATTGGGGTGCGGGGCGTGCGCGCCGTAGTGCTGGCCCGCGTGCAGCGGCGGCCCGTGGTTCAGGTGGTGCACGGGGGGGATCGGCCGCGGCGCGTGGGGGTCCCCGTACATGGAGGCCGGCACCCCTACTCCGTCCATGCCGCCGTAGTGGGGCAGCTCATCGTACTGTCAGGAAAAAAAAAAAAAAAAAAAAAAAAAAAAAAAAAAAAAAGGAAACAAAACAACAACAAAAAGTCAGAAGAGAGTAAAGCACTCAGATGGACGCGGAGCAAAACAAACCAAGAGCAGCCACACCGCGGGGAGAAAGGGGGCAACCGGCGGGGCCGGGAGGCTGAGGGGGCACGGGGGTGGGAGCTGGGGTAGGAAGAAAACGCGTGTGTGTGCGGGGGAGCCGCGGCGGCAGGGAGAGCAGGGAACCGAGCAAGGAAACCGGGATGGGGAGGAAGGAAGCGGAGGGGAGAAACTGGAGTTTGCTCTGAATTGGAGTGGAGGGACGAAAGGAAAAAAAAATAATAAAATATAAATGAATAAACAGGCAGAGTCAAAAGCAACTGTAGAAAATTAAAAAACAACGCTGGGAAGAAGAGAAGAAAGGTAGGGTGCATCGGAGGGGGAAAGAGGATAAAGGAGGAAATAATCTGAAAGTTACCAGAAACATTATTTAGCAGCAATTCCCCTCGCTCTTGTCAAAGCCCCGGACAAAACAAGCCGCTGTGTGTGCACACACATCTATAGGCGCACACATAGGTCTCCCCCAGCCCTGCCCGGGCAGCAGCAGCAGCAGCAGCGGAGCCCGAGCTCGCGAGCGGGGAGCGCGCGGCCAGGGAGGCTGCGAGCACGGAGCGACCACAGGGACACGCACACGCGGACACTCACGCACACACACAGAAAGCCGGGGAATCAGTTCTTTTTTTCTTTTCTTTTTTTCTTTTTTTTTTTTTTTTTGCTGCTATTTTTTTTTCTAATAGTGGCCGCCATCAGCAGCAGCAAGAGAGGAGAGCAAATCGGACAGGCCCCCTCTTAAGAGAGGATTTATATATAGGTAAGTGTTGGAGATTTAAACCTACCCTTTGCGCCATCAGTCTGCGCTCCAATAAACTCCTGGATGTGTCGTATATTTAATATCCCAGTCCAGCAAAGAATGTGATTTAGAGTGAAAAAGAATCCTTTTTTTTTTTTTTTGGAACCCACTTATGGACTTCTCCTATCCTCCAATATGGGTAAATAATAATAATAATAATAACAACAACAATAACAATAACAATAATATATAAAAAACAGTCAAGAACCACGATGAGTTTCTGTATATTTCTTCTTTTTTCTCTCTCTCTCTTTCCTTTTTCTCTCTCTCTCTTTTTCCTTTTTTCTTTCTCTATGCAAAAAAAAAAAAAAAAAAAATTGTCAAGCCCCCAAACTGAAGGTTACGATCGGCCCGTCAGCAACCCACATGTAACCAAACTGTCGTGTCTCATGGCTTTTTGCCACTCCAGCTGTCAATCAAAGCCAGGGAATGTCAAGGTAGTGAATGAATGATGGTTGATGATGATGAAGAAGAGAGGAGGAATCTTTTTAACCCCGGTTTTCTTCTTCCAGTAACTCCGCGCTTGGGTTTTGCCTTTCAGGATCGCGATAGGTTTTTTTTTTTTTTTTTTTTTCAAAAAAAAAAGTACTGTGAAGTGGGGGAGTGATGGGGGAAGATGCGAAGAAGCAAAAAAAAAATCGAAT